GCAACCCCCCTGCCCCCTTCACAGTGTTCACCTTGCTGCGCTTCTCTCTCCGCATCTGGGACGACAAATTTATATTTAATGAGCTTCATAAAATTTGAATTTCAAAGGAGCATTGCACCGCTGCGGCATGTTCAGCCCGCGTTGATTGCCACGCGGTGTGGAGCTGAGGTCCAGCTCGAGTCTAGATCGAACTCTCAGTCAGTCCGACTCTCCTCCAGTCTTGGCCAATGAAGGCATATAAATTGCTGGTTTTATGGCGTTTTAAGTAGGCCTGCTTTATGGGCTTTGCAGTTCAGATCCAGCTTCGTCCAGCTACACAGGCTGAGTGAGAGAGTGAGAGCGAGAGAGAGGACGAGTGGGACAGTGAGGGAAGCAGCTGTTGCTATGATTCATTGGCGCTGTGTGGTCGCAATCATCGTTGTTGTTGCTCGTCTTGTCTGGGAAGACTTATTGCTGCCCACTTAGGCGACAAAACGCTGTCGCTTCTCTGGCTCGCACCACAATAAAGATGGGACCTTCTCTTCATCTGCTTCTGCTTCTGCTTCTTCTTGATCTTCATCGTCATCTTCATCTGGTTGTTTTCTTCAAGTCGATCTGCAATGTCTGCAACTTGTTTAGCGAGTTTTCTCACCTCGTTGGCAACATTTCAATTTGACATAATGAGCCACATTTTGTTACCAGTAGGCATTACCACATACTGCTTAGGCTACCTAACTAGAAACAGCGAGGGTTGCCAACTGACAACAACAACAGCAACAACAACAACAACAGCCTCAACACAGTCGCATAAATCAATACAGAGCAACTTCATTGTGGGTTATATCATTTGTAAAGTCAATTCGACTAGCTCCAAGTTGGGCTTTAGTCCAGAGAGAGAGAGAGAGAGAGAGAGAGAGAGAGAGAGGAACTGTGATTCAATATGTTAAAGCAATAACAACAACAACAAGCAGCATTTCTTTATTCATCTCGACTATATTAGTTCATCTTATAGAATTTATTTATTTATGTTAAGGCGTGAAACTTATTAAAATATTTATATATGTGTTTCTTTGTTATTTAAATTATTATTAACTCTGTTTTGAGTTATATTTTAATTTATTTTAAATATTTTCTTTATTTAATTCTTATTTTTATACAATATATGAAATTTTATCTAAACTCAATTTAAAGCATGGTGCAAACTGTTATTAGAGAAGATGTAAGAACATTGATGAACTGAAGAAAATAATCTTGGACAAATGTGGGGCCTTAGTAAAATTGCTGAGAATCTATTTTAATCCAAGACATTCATTCATAATATTTAATTAATTAGCTACAGCAAAATAAAATATTTATATCTACATATATATAATGAACAGTAGAATCCGGTTAAAAGAATGTTCACGGGATCGACGATCTTACGTCGTTATACCCGGAAGACGTTACAACCAAAAATATATAAGTTTGTATGGAAACCTGCCATAACATCATACAGCCGCTATACTCGCATTCTACTGTATTTTATGTTTTATATATATATTCCAAAATGCATATGTATTCAACATATAAAATGTAAATTTAGCACAAAAATATATACAAAATCAAGTATAAAAAATAAATATAAAAATTTATAAAATATATAAAAGATGAAATATAAGTAAAATATAAAAATCCAATTCAGTCTGGAAAAAATCTGGAAAGCAAGTCCACAGAATTTTCATTTTGCTAGCAGAGCCTAACTTGACTTAACTTCTGATAATGCCATAAATTAGTAACATAACAACAATTGATATACAACAAAATTTAAGCCTTTGTATAGAGTGTCGTTCATTGATATATTAGCAAGATTTATAATCTTGTTGCCAATTCCTCTTCTCAGTCTACAAATTCTGGTTCCGCTTTCCACATGACGCAAATCAATGAATCTCCGCAGAGAGTCTCAAACGTGTTTGGCCACAATTTTCATGGCAGGTAGGCTGGACAGGCCAGGCCAGACAGCGATCGATCTATATAGAGTCAAAATATATTTTCGTACTTTAGCAGGTAACGGTAATTAGGCGACTAGGCTACCGTCTGCCAGACTGCTGAGCGTAATCCTAACCTAAGCCGTCCGTGGTCGTCTGCCTCTAATTTCTGAATGAGTTGCCCCGCGGCGCGCGCACAGCGAGAGGTCCACAGTACAGAGTAGGAGAGAGAGAGAGAGAGAGAGAGAGAGAGAGGGGAGAGGGAGAGAGGCGTATGGATAGGCGTGGTCAACCTGTTGATAGCCGCAACAGACGCTACTTGAGATTGAGAGCTCTCTCAATACAAATCAAGCCCCTGGCGCTACCCCCTCTCCTCTCCTCTCCTTTCTGAGTCCCTCTCAGCTCGCTCTAAGTGAAGCGTTAAAGTAGTTCTTGTAATGCGATATATAAACTGAGCCAGAGGTTATATAACAGGCGGCTGCTGCTGCTGTTGCTGCTGTTGCTGTCGTTGCTGTCGTTGCAATTGTTGCTGCTGCCTCAAGTGTCGCTTCGAGTTTGATTTGAGATCTTTCAGTCGGGTTGGAGTACTTGCTGACGCCACGAATTGTGTCTGGAGTGAAGAGCTGTGAGTTGTAGCGGCGTCTACTTATTTGATGTAACCAAATCTCAGTTGTTGCATCCTGTTGAGCCAACATCTTCCCTCTCCCTCCCCCCTACCTCTCTCTCTCTCTTCGTTTTTTATGGAGCTCTGGTTAATTAGTCATTAAAATAGGGGGGCGACCGCCGGCGCACATAAAAGTGACACTCGTAAAAAAAAGGCAATGCTAGAGGGAGTTGGCTATATGTAAATAGCGTGCGAGCGAGAGGGCAACAACTGCTGTTGCTGCTGCCTCTAAAGAGCTTTAAAAGCAACGCCATTAAAGCGCGCTACGTGCCGCACATTGCATGCAGCACGCGCAGCCAGGCGAATGCACCTGAGCACACACACACACATAGTCTCATGTGTGTGTGTGTGTACCTTTTGAGGTGTCATATGGCGCAGCGGGTGTTCTGCGCAGCCCAAAACTAAGCGGAGCGCCAGCCGAAATCCCAGCGGACCAGGCGCCGTTTAATGAGCGCCTGGAGAGCGGCACGAGCGGAGCTTTAGCTGCTGCTTGCTACACACACACACACACACACACATGAGCATGCACACACTCACGCGATAAACGGGCGTGGCAGCAGAAATTTTGGCATTATTTATCAGTTGATTTATGTGCAACTCGCTAAAGTCTCCCTCTCTCTCTCTCCCTCTCCCTCTCTCTTTGTCTTCTTTCGTTCCCCTCTCTTTCACTCTTTGATATTCCTTTTTTTTGTGGAAATTTAATATTAATTTCGGTAGCCGCTGCCGCCCTGACAAGCGCTGACACCTTGACTGAACTTGAGATCTACAACACAATTTTTGGTTTCCCTCATCTGCTTTTAATTGCACTTTAATAGCTGGCCGCTGCTTTAATATGCCCACAGTGCGCCCGGGTCAGCAGAGTCGAGGGCTCCACTGGCCAGTAATTAGGCCAACAAAAAATGGCTATTTGGTCTTTAAATGACGCCGAGTGCAGCGCGTTCCTCTTAGCCACGTTAACTCGCTGCTGGCCACGCGAAGCTCAATTCGCTTTAAGCTGCAGCTACTATGATGTCATCAGAGAGTTATTATTATTATTTTTACAGCGAAAACATGTAATGTGAATGGGAGCATAAAGAGAGCGACAGAGATAGAGCAGGGGGTGGGAGCGAGAGGGAAACGAACTGCAAGGCTTCATAGCGATGGCTGAACCTTGAGCGATTCTATAAGCATTTAAAGAATGAATAATATATTTGCAACTATACAGCTATATAGAAATACAGTAAGTACTCGCTACATGTAACACCTGGACAAGATTTGGAGCTAAGCTCTCATTAGTACTAGAAATAAAGAATTTGTTTTTTTATGCAATTTTCTGATGGGGATTACTTGGAGCAGCACATAATATATATGCATGACTAACAATAAATTTAGTTTTAAAAATATTAATTACAATTTTTCTATAATTTTACATAAACAAAATTTTTTTCATATACCTAACACTCCCCTGATATAGATATATTTTAAGTTAACAATCTGAACGTTTTGAACATTTCAAGTTGATTTCATATGCATAGAATTCCTATAAATATTGTATCTTTATGTAAAAGGGCTAAATTACATAAAAATAGATCAAGAAACTGGAACAGAAACTGGAAACGCGTCTAAATTTTATATTTTATTGCATGTCTTTCAAAGATTACGAATAATTAAGCTCTAGGCCTATTATATTCGTAATTTATATATACTGGAAGATATAAATAAAATATATATTTATATACAAATGTTTCTACTGACGTATACAAATGTTGATTTAAGCCAATTCACATGCAAAATATTTGCGATGTAAGCTCCGAGATGGCTAATTAAATGGTTAATTAGAACAGAGAAATGTTAGAGTGGTGTTAAGTGACAGCTAATACTCTGCTAATAACATTTATCAACATTGCATAATGTTAAGCGATTCAGTTAATGTTAATATCATGGAAATGTTAAACGAAGCCTTAGTACTTAATTGAAAAAATTGTTAATAAAATTAGAAGAAAAAAATATATTTATATCACTTCATATTTTTAATCATTTTAATATTTAAATAAAACTAATTTTATTTTTTGCTTTTTAGCTTCTTTTTGGAATACAAATGCAATGCAAAATCAATAACTGTTGTGCTTCACAGGCAACATTTCTATGTATGTATTTGTGTATGTATGTATATCCTAACCCTTTTGGCTTATAGTTCCTTCAGCTGTTCAGCCTGTGGCACACCCACATGATTTGATAAAATTTATGCGCCACTCGCTAAAAAACAAAAACACGAACGAAACAAGAAAATAAAAATACGAAACAAATTCGTCTATATTTTATGGGTTTGCTTTTTTTCGGGTTTCCGGTCAAACTTTTTTTTTTATTAGTTATTCCTGGCTCTGACTCCGGCTCTGGTTCTGTTTCTGTTTCAGTCTCCCACTCTAAGGCTGTCTGGCTGTCCGACTGTCTGGCTGTCTGCGTGCGGTGTGATAAAGTTATTTAGGCGCAAATCATAAATTCCAAAACGAGAAACCCAGAGCGGAGCTTATCTGATTTTGCACTTGGGCCCCTGGCACTAGATCAATATGCTGCTGCTGCTGGCCGGGCAACCTGGAAACCTGGAAACCTGTGCGGGCCAAAGATTCCTAAACCCAAAATAAAGGAAAAGAATCGAAAAGACAGCTGTGCGCCTGCGCCTGTTGACACATTTGAAACATAGAGAGAAACCGGAGAGAAGGACAGAGAATGGAGAACGGAGAACGGGGAACGGGGAACGGAGAACATCGAACAGAGAGTTAGAATTTAATGCAGGTAAATTTGCCTCTCAAGAGCTGGGTTTTATATATTTTATTTTATTTTATTTTTGCCCCGTCTTTAATTAACAGCTCTGGTTTGACTTGTGAAATTAGAAAATTATGCCTGGAATTTCCGCTCGAAATAAATTCCAAGCATTTTGCGTATTCGCTTTGCTGATTAGCCACGAAAAATGATAATGAGCTCCAACTCTGAGTCGATCATAAAACTATAAATTGCTGCAGAGAGGAAGCGAATTAGATTGAATTACAGTTCCAAATCAATTTCAGCAACTTTTGATGACTCGCGTGAGTTGAACAATTTGATTTTTTATTGCCCAGATTCATAAAAATGTTGTGCGAAAAATTCAGGAAATCAACTGGAGAATAAAACGTTAGACGAGGTAGTTAGTAATAAGGCTATAAATAGAGGTGAAATATCTTAAAGGTTGGTAAAAGCTGTCAAAACCAATTCAAGAGAAAATAATCAAAGGATTATGAAAGCTTTAAGGAAATAATTTGTTGCACTAAATTACATAAATTTTCAAAATGAAGTTATAAAACTTATGCAAAATGAACTTTATATTTATGGAGGCTGCATTGATTGAATTTATTTAATATTTTTATCCAGGCAGCTTTAGCTAAAGACTTTGCTGTCTTATTCACGATTAAAGCTCATTAAAGCTTTCGTTTGAATACTCTTTATCAATAATTAACAGATTTGTTGACAAGCTGAGACATGTTCGATATCATAAAGCCCTTAAAAGGAGAGTTCGACATGATACACCGTTATGGCAATCTGCTCTAAAAGCTCATTATGTACATTCTATTAATTTTGAATCCAACTATCCATATTTAAGCCAAGAGAAAAAAAAAACTTTCCATGTACTCAAAAGCTCATTAAAACAGCGTTTCATTAAAAATTCAAATTCAAAGTTTAAAGGAAAATTAAAGCTTAAGATTGAAAAGAAGAAGCTTAAGAACTTGCAAGAATCAGTTGTAGTTACTAAAGCAATAAACGAGGGAAGTTTGTATAGTTCACGAACTAGCAATATATTTAATTTTATTGATATTAATTTTATATCTTGAAATTTTCAACGCTTCCTTGTGCACCTCGCATTAAAGTAGGAAACTTTTGCATATATTAACATTGTTTATGTATTTCGTCATTCACTTTCAGCTGGTGTCATTGGCAAACATAATTGATTTGAGTTTGTGCACTTTCGAATCGAGTAGCCACAACTAACTAACTAGTTATGCTCACTATGCATTTAATTTTTAATTAGCTGCAGACTTTCGGTTTCGGAGACGCCGTCCAATTTGAAAGACGATTAATGATGTGTTGAGAACATTTATGGCCAGACGACAAAACAACCGAAAACTGAATGCCGAAAATCGAGAAACAATAGCCAAAACGCCTTTCACGAGCTTTACGACTGTCGCACGCTTATAAATGCTAAAAAGCAGCAGCTGCTGCTGCCAGGCAGTCCATATAAGCGGAGTTAATCCATCTATCTGTGACACGGCTAAGGCTTAGCTCTTTGGCCAATCTTTATGGCCAAAGCATTTCTATTTTTATACAAATTTGATTTTATGTTTTTTCTCCGAGTTTTTATGCGCTGTTTTTAAATAATTTACAAATGTTTTTAAGCTTCTGCTCAGTCAATTTTTCACAATTAACTTTCAAACATTTAAAACTAATTAATATTAATTTAAATTGTTTTGATTTTCTGTGACCGCAAATAATTGTCAATTTTTTATGAGCCAGAATCCATTTAAATATATATGTATGTATGTATATATTATCTTCAAAGCAATTAGAAATGAAATGGAAATCTGCTGCGCCGCGAAGTATGCAACAGAAAAGTGAGAGAAAATATATGAAAACAAATTTGTGTCGCACTTCTGTGTAAACAAAATACGAAGTCGAGCGGTTTGTTGTATATATTTCCATCTACTATATTTAATTAATTTAACGACTACTTGAGAAGTCAGCAAAAGCGTGTGTGCGTGTGTGTGTGTGTGTGTGCTTGTGTGTGTGAGGGCCAGCTACATGAAAAACTCATTAAAATGTTTACAGGCGCACTGAATCAACAAAAACTCGAGAAAAAGCGACTCGACGAATAAATATGAAGAACAAACTATACAAAAACGAAAACAAAGCAAAAAAAATAAAATAAAAAATAAAAAATAAAAAACGGAAAAGGAAAACAAAATTCAAACTTAAATACAGCAACTGAAATTGTTTTCAAATATCTTAAAACACAAACTCGTAGTTAGTTTTTCTTCCTCTTTCGGGCTTTGGCAAATAAAGTTTTTGAAATGAAAATTTGATTTGCTTTTCATATATGTAATGCGTGAGCAAACAGCAAACTGTGAATCGCAATTAAACGGCGACTCTAAATTGGCCAAAGTATCTATGAGATGCAAATGTGTGTGCATGAGATGCAACGGAATGGGATACAATTGTATCTGCATGTAAGATTTTAGTTTGCAGCGGTTGGTTGATTGGCTTAATGATAATTTTAGATAATTTAAGAGCAGATCAGCTGCAGCTGCAGCCAGAAGATACAACAGTATCTTTTAGATACAAGTATATATGAGTTGGAAACTGAAACTTTGTTGAGATACTCTTATGAAATACTCTAATGTTGAGCAAGTTCTGAATCTATCTAAGAGATACAAATGTGTATAGGAGATGTAAAGCAAACTAGAAACCTATCTATAAGATTTAACTCTATCAATGAGATAAGAAACTGCAGCTGGTCAATAGATTGCGGCTACAGCTTAGATTTACTTAACCCTAATGAAAAGTTCGAAAATTGGAAAGTGAAAATAGATCATTAAAATATAGACAATAAAATGTATCTATGAGATACGAATGCTACACTTGAATCTCCAACTAGTTTTATAGCTTATAGCTGGCATAATGCTGACCCATTTACCTTTCTAAACATAACAAGAATTGCGTTTACAATGCATCTGCATTTTAACCAGCTGGGAACTGTAAACGTGTATCTTTGAGATACAAATGTATCTTCATATGTTGTTTCGTTCTAGCTGCATTATTCAGTGATGCAAAAGTTGAGTAAGGCGCTTCCACTGCAGCCAAGCCACAGCTGTAAACTGCCCAAATGTATCTATGAGATACAAATGTATCTGCAGCTAGTTTCTAGTTTGTAGCTGGCATTGCTGTTGGCTCATTTATAATTCAATACGCTCGACGGGGCCAACGTGTTTATGATTATGAGTTTGTCGTCTATTTTTTCTCTTTCTCTCTCCCTCTCTCTCTCTTTTTTTTTTTTTTTTGGCACACAGAACACTGACACACACATACACACATATACACAGCTTGCAACTGTTTTAGTTCTTTTTTTTTTTTTTTTTTTTGTTGGTTTTTGCGGTCTTTTGTCTGGTTACAAAATTGGCAGCTAACATTTGTCACAATTTAGCGTCAAATTTAAATTTAAATAAAATATATTTTGTCACACACACACACACACACAGACACTGACACACACGCATTTTTTAATGACACTTTTGGCTGCGTTTGAAAAATTCATGAATATAATTTAGAAATGCAATAGATATACATATGCACATATATCGTGTATATATATATATATATATATTGAAAATGTTTCATATATGGTCAGCAATTATAAATTTTTTGTACTTTTTTTTTTTTTGGCAAATTTGTCAACTGACAAATTTTTATTGAATTTAATTTTGTCGCATGCGATACTTATTTTTATTTATTTATTTTTTATTTTATTTTGCTGCTGCTGCGGCCGCTGCAATCGCACTTTAAATGCCGCCAAGCATTAAAATGTCATTCAACCGTTAATTGGCGGCGGGGCACGAAAGTTATATTCTACTTAAAATAATATATGGCCATCATTTCAGAAAAGTTAATGCCAGTGTTTTCTCTTTAAATACAGATATACTAAATTCATATATAAATGAAAAACAATTACAAACACTTGCGGCCGTGCGACTCAGACTAAATCGTTTCTCTGGCAATTAGCAGATGAGTGGCTCCAGATAGCTAATGGCCTTGAAGCCTTTCCAGCAGGGTACGAGTCATATATGGCTTTCTTAAGTTGTACTTAAGAGCTATGAATAGAACGATTAACTAAAGCAGTTACAGCTGACTAAGCAGCAGCCAATACACTATTACTAAGAGCAGCTGATCCCATTCGAACTTTAACTATTTCGAAATATATATATATAAATATCATTTTTAAATATAACTAGAAAACCATCTTTATCCCTTGTCCCTTCCTTTGAAAGCGTCAGAAAAATATTTGCTCATTCCTGCTATAGTTTAACTGTTTTAAAATGTTCTCTATACTAACTTCCTAAACGAGTTTAAATGTATTCCATATTTATATTTCATTTAAATACATATGTATATGCACGCGATATATATATTTTTATATTAAACAAACTCCCTTTAATTGCAAATTTGAATTTCTTGCATTAATTAACAATATTTCCATCATTTGTTGTTATCAACATTTAATTTCAATAATTTTAATCAAAGTGCAATGCCATTATATTTAAACTAAAATTTATTTTTGCAATTTAACTTATTGAATATAAAACGAAATATTACTAAATGATTTAGTATGCTAATCGAAGTATGGATTTTTTTTTTTTTTACATTTGAGTTATACAAATGAATGGTAAGAGATATAAAAGCTTCCTGTCTTTGCACTTTCTTCCTCATATTAAGCAATTTATTTAATATGTAGAGTGGACTCAAATAAAGACAAACTTTATTTTGGAATATATTTGATATAAATTCTCTATGCAAATGAAGCTTTATAGATATATATATATGCCTTCACAAATAAAATCAAATTATTAAAAAAAAAAAAAAAAAAAAAAAAAAATACATATTAAAAAAAAAGAAATGTATTTAATATAATAACGAATTAAATTTGTTAAATTTTTGACAGATAATATTTGCCCATGGAACCTTGCAAGCCTCTACAGCTATAAACTGATCTTGAACTCTTGAAATATTGAACTGAGCAACATTGCATCTCATCTAGCAATTAATGTTAAAGGTATATGTTATATTCCTTAAGTCATATTTTTCCTTTAACATCTACAAACTGTCAATGTCAGAGCAATGAGTGCAGAGTTATAACGATTCCATTTAGATAAATTGAATAAAAGTAATCAAGCAAGTTTGCAGTAATAGAAAATAGAGTTCGTTATAGAAATATGTATATAATATAGTCTTGGTTATCCATTGATACATTATTATTATTATTATATATTATTAATTTTTAAATATTATTTGTATATATTAATTATATATTCCGATATTCCTTATCTCCATTTCCCCTTATCCACATCTATTTTTGTTCCAATTACTGTTTAACTCGGAAATCCTTTTTTTCACTTTTACTGCACAAATTAGTTGTTTGTTTTTGTTTAATTTATTTAATATCTAATGTCTGCTTTTTTGTGGGAAAAGGTTAATGACAATTTAATTTGCAAATTTTGCGTTGTTTTGTGTATAATTTGTATCCGAGTGCGACATTGCCCATAAATAAGTCATTAAAGCGCTTAAATAGCTTTATTAGCCGCATATGATATGTTTTGTTGGCTAATGCTACGGAATGGGCTCTGGGCTCTGGGCTCTGATTCCACTGAACTGAAGCGTTGGGCATCAGGCGTGACAATAATTGGGCTAGCTAAATGTACTTTGTTAGATTAACTAGTTGAACTAGTTATCAAATTATTGGTTTAAATGTATAGAGGATTAACTGTAGTTTGCAATTGAGTGGTACGAATTGGTTTGACAGTGAAGAAGAAGACTGGATGGAACTGATGGGAAACTCGAAGAAAAACATGACATGATCAAGATTGAAGAAAGATTAAATTGAAGCATTGCAAATGTGAGAAAGTAAAGCTAAGGGTAATGGGAAAAGAACAGATTGAAAGAAGGAAACAAAATTCAATCTTTCAATAAGTGAAAAAATAACTCTTGGAACCTTGAGATAAAAGCTTATGGAAAAGGAGGAAACAATAATAATTAAGACTGATTGAAACAATTGCAACATATTTAATTCAATTTCAACATCAATAGAATGAATTTTCAGAACAAAGCTTGAAGGAAAAGTTGAACTAAACACAAACTGAGAATAAAGCTCAGGTGAGATGCTTAAAGCATAGATTGAAGAGCTGAATGAGAGAGATATATTGAAATCTAAATTGAAAGATTTATTGAAAGAAAGACTTAACGTATGATATATTGAATATACCAAAAATGCTATATAGAAATAGTTTAAAGGTGGAAAACCCTCATCGAAAATGAGGATAATAGACTTTGAATAAGGAAGAATGACTACATAAACTTATTGATAAAGAAAATTACTGCAAACGATGCCTAAAGACAATGTGTAAGACCTTTTCCTTAGCAAAACAATGTATAAGATTTATATTGTAACACTCTAACCAATGTATCTAGCACTTCCACAAAAATATTTTATAAAATTGCTAGGTCAACAAAATGAATATGCCGAAAGCCTTTGAAACATATTCTCCGCACGCGAATCATTTGCATTCAAATAACACTCCAATCCATCATAGTTACTAACAAAAACATTTGTTTATAACGACTTATCTGAAGGCAGCAAGGAGAAGAAGAAGAAGAGGATGAAGTAAAACACAAGTGCTCAGAACCTTGAAAGGTTTTGTGAATACAAATTGTGATAGAAATTCGCCAGCTACCGAGATTCGATTCGGGAAACTGGTTTACCGACGGCTGCTTAAGTTGGTTGATTCATGGACCGATTTCTAGTTGGCATTCATCACTGTACAGCATATATAGACGTATGATAGATTGTTGCATATAGATGTACTTACTTATCACATCGTGGCCGTGACAATCCAAATCCAGGTGATGATTCATCACCAGCGATGGCTGTAATCCAGTTTGGCTGTGACTGTGATTGTGATTGTGATTGTGATTATGATTGTGCAATGGTAGCTGGTGAGCCAAATGGCCACCAATCTCTGCCATTACCATATATTTGGCTTATAGACCGGCAACCAACCAAAATACACTTCAGATCTTTTGTAGAAATGATGGGCGAAAAGAAAGCGCAACTCAAAATTCGAACACGATTTTCCACATTGAGCATCAAGTGTTGTGTGTGTGTGTATGTGTGGGTGTGTGGGTGTATACGTGTGTGTGTGTGTGTGGGTGTGTGTATCGAAGTTTTAGCAATATTTTTGTTTAACTGCTGCGTTTTAAGGCACTTTTTGTACAGTTTAGTTAGGCAAAGATAATTTTTCGTATCTGAACTTTTTCACGCACTCTTTGGGCTCTTTGGCTGTGTACTGCTCTTGTTGTTGTTGTTGTTGTTGTTGTCACAGTTGGTAACACACGCGAACAGGTAAATGTAATAACGCCATAGGTCGAGGAAGCGCAGAGTTTCGTATTCTCGTATCCAAAGGCGACGACGGCGAAAGGCGACGGCGAACGACGGCGAATTTGTTTTGGGGTGCGTACGTTGCGTTCGTTGCTTGAATTGCTGCTGCTGCTGCTGCGGCTGCTGCTGTTGTTGCTGTTGTTGTTGTTCTTTCTCTAAACGTAACGCGCACAGCACAGCAACAACAACAACAATAATAGAGAGAAATATTTACGAAAACGACGCGCGAACCACACGATGCTGACGGCGCTGCGACTGCTGAACGACTAAACCGGCTGACCGTGTGTGTCTTTCGGATTCACAAAGGCAAAACTTACAGAGCCGCTCGCTTCGTTTCGTCGCGCTTCGTCTCTCCTCGTCTCATTGTGTTCGCGCTCGGGCCCTGCGTCGCTGTCGCTGTTGCTGTCGCCGTCGACGCCGGCGTCACAGCTAACCCCTCGTTGGCTGGCTACAGCTCGGCACTGCTCGCACAGCAGCCGCGCTGGCGCTTGGTTAGAGCAGTACAGCTAGTGTGTGGATTACGTTGGCTGCCTGCAGCAGCTGCAACCGGTTTCGTTCGTTTTCGGGTCTGGGGCGCGTCTCGCTCGCTGTTCGAAAACGGGCAACAGGAACAGGTGTTTGGCTGTGCTGCTCGCACGCGACGCATGCCATCTCGCTTCGCACGTTTTCTAAATGGCGTCCAAGCGGGCCAATCGGTTGGCGCCACTGCGCATGAGTCGCCCCACTGGCGGGCGGCACAGCTGAGTTGCAATTGCCGTTGCCGTTGCCGCTGCCTTTGCCGTCGCTAACTTTAGCCACAATCTACAGGCAATGGAGGCAGTCAACCCCAACGCGCTTCGCTTCGCTTTGCTTCGCTTCTTCTTTTTTTCGAATGTGTCTGTTCATGTGTGCGTGTGTGTGTGAGCGTGTTCGTTGCTCTTCCTTTTTGCTGCCTTTTGCCTTTGTTTTGCCAATTTCGCTTTTGGTTTTCGAAGTTTGTACTACAAAATGGTTGCACTTGTAAGCAAATGCCGCTAGTCTGCTCCCACCTAATGCCCTCCCTCGTCTGCTCTCGCTCTATCGTGTTTGGCTGCAATTGTTGGCTGTGTAATGCGCTTGTCGAAGTTTTTGGCAGCCACAGCCGCACCTTGTCTTGACTCTTGGCTGCGGCTGCCACTGCCACTACCACTGCTGCTGCTGCTGCTGTTGCGGCTGTGGCAACGTCTTTTGGCCTCGTAGCTAACATCATAATAATTATTGATCTTTTGATTTTGGGCTTGTGTCTCGTTTACCGTTTTACTGTTCAAGGCTCTGTTGCAATTTTAATGACATGTGCCACGCCTGCCCCCACTACTATCTGTGTGTGTGTGTGTGTGTGTGTGTGTTGTTGCGGTTAGCCAGTTCGTTGACTTGGCACCCAGTTCCGCCTGCTCTGATGATTTGTTTTAGCTGCCAGTTGGCAGTCTGCTGCCTGAATCCCCAGTTGCCACACAGTTTGCCGTTATTTTTACCGTTTTTATTTGCCGCTGCTTCCGCCAACGAACGGTGAGGTGGTGAGGGTTGCTGCTGCTGCCACTGCTGCTGCTGCTGCTCGTCATGTTGTAATCAAGGTCATCAGCTCCGCTCCGATTGGGCCACTACGCTCACTCATAGCCCGTCGCAGTTAGCCAGACGCTGACATTAGTATATGCACACACATACACACACACACACACACACACACGTATATATGTGTATATGTATACAGAACATGTAATGCTACAACTGTAAAAGCTTTCGCGCCATCTCCTTCACACACACACGCAGCTGGGAAAAACAGCTGACTGATTTGTCTGTCTGTGTGTCTGCCTGCCTGGCTGTGTGTGTGTGTGTGTGCGGGTGTGTGTGCGTGCTGGCTGGCAGCATGATTTCAAAATTTAATTAGGTCCCGTCCATTAATTGGGTTAATTGAAATGCCGGTAAAAGTCTGGCGAGCAGCAGCAGCAGCAGCAACAACAAAATTTAGGACATGTCACTCAAGCAATGCTAACTGACCCAGCCACCCACCCACTCGCCTGTCTTGCCGCCCCCTCTTCAACAGCAAATGAAATGTTTTCCAACTTTTTGTTGTTCGCCTCGTCGTAGCTGCGCCGCATTATCCTTGCCATTGTTGCTATTCATTGATATTTAAGAAACAGAGAATGGAGCATCGATTTGCCAATTCTCAGTTACATTCTCAATTATTGTTTCTCCAGTGATTTGCAGTTAATGATTTAACTGGAATCGACTTAGCTGTTGTATTACATTTGTTTTCGGAAACTTGAGTAATTATTATTTACATTTGATTGCATAAACTCAAGTAATTGTTAGTTTTGTAGAATCTGTAAATTGTATTAATAAAATATTATCAAATACAACAACTAAAAATACAAGTAATTCTAAACATATTCGCTAAGGTTTAGCTTAATTATGGCGGCTGTTAATTTTTCAGATTCTGAAGCTATTTTTTGGTCAATAAAGTTTCTATTTATATTTCAATATTTTTATGTATTTATGTTGTCATTAAATTTCAATGTTCAAATAGTCAAATTTAATATATGTATGTAAATTATTTAATACTATATTTATTGAAAACTATTTCACTTATTTTCAATTGTTTTGTTCTTCACATTATTAAATATTTTAGAAAACATTTTTTAAATTTAAAATGATTTTATCTAATTTTGTATTTCACAGCTTTGTGATCTTCATAGATTAGTTATATATTTTATTATTTAAATTTCGATAAAGCCTATATTTTATAATTTAAATTTCGATAAAAGTATTTTATTTTAGTAAAAATTGTCAAATTAATATAGAAAATACATTTCTGATTAAATATTTGTCTAGCAACACATTTTAATCAAAGTAAATGGAATATCTCCTCTTAAACTTAAGTTCTGTAACTTAATATTTTCTATTCATTATAAATATAATTCTACTGAAATCTGAATTTAGTTAAAAATTGTGGTCTAATTAACTAGATTTTTACCTGATTCCTCCTGGGAAAATTACAGTACCAAATAGTTTTTTCTCAAAGATAAATTTAAAAAAAATATTTTGCTCTATAGAGCAACTACACTTATCATAATATTATTTTTATTAAATTTAATATTTCCAGCTTGTCGCCTGTCCTGGCCAAGGATATTTGGCAAACAGGAACAGCAAAAGCAAACGAGAAGGTAAAACACGTCCTCGATTCACAACTCGCTCTGCTTGGTTGCTTGACGGACAGCATCCATCCAGGTGAGGGCTCTTACCTAGTTAATTAGAAATGTTGGAGCAGAGCTAACACTTACTGTGTGTGTGTGTGTGTGTGTGTGGCGTTCCATTGTGAATGTGAGTGTGAACTGACTTGAACTGGCTTCAAATCATATCCCTCACTCCCCCTCACTCCCCAACAAATATTGTTTGCATTCTGCTATTTGATTGCTTGAAGCTCTGTTACAGCTGCAATCAGTAGCCAATTTGGCAACTGTGTTAGATGTCTGCTAGCCCGATAATAGAAATGACTGAAGACCTGCTCCATGTCATTGGAGCGAGAGCAAAGATGCCAGAGATGCTGCATTGAACTACTTTTCCAATTGCTGCAACTTTTACAGAGAACTTTAAAGAGTTGAGCTTGGTAAATAACTCTTTATATATATTATATATTTATATTTATTAGTAGAATTACATTCGTTCTTTGTCTGTTCGCGTATTTAGCATAAAATGACGTCCACTTTTGATAGGCAAACAGAATCGCAAGCAAATCGAAACTCGTTTTTTATTTCGTCGAAGCTGAATGTAAATTTCGAATTTCAATTTTAATTTCAGAAGCGAACGCTTGCTGCTGGCAGCTCGTATCAATCTGCGGGTGATACATGCTACAGTGTGACCTCCCTAGCACAGACGCAGACCTGCTGCTGCCGCTGCTGCTGCTGCTGCGCTGGCTCCAGCCAAGGCAAATAGTAAAAAAAATTTTATGCAAATAGCAACACGCAAAACACCTACGCAAACAGTCAGCTCGGCCCCAGAGGACGCGAGGGACGTCACGTGGCGAGGGCAAGGGCAGGGGGGGTGGCAGTTAGGAGAGGCGTCGGCAGCAGGGCAGGGCAAGGACTTGCGGTTCATTTAATTTTCGCACTTGGCGGAGCACAGCAGCAAAGGCAGAAATTGCCAAATGTTTAGGCAAATGTAAAGAGTAGAGAAAGAGACAGAGAGAGAGAGACAGAGAGAGAGAGAGAGGGAGAGAATGGAAATGAAAGGCTAGATAGAGCTAAAGTCTACGTTTACTTCAACTCATATGGTCAAGCGAAATTTTATAGGCCTTACATGGGCAAAACAAATTTCAAAGAGCTTTAAAGGCAAGCGCAGATGGTGAGAGAGAGTGAGCGAGAGAGGGAGCGAATGAGGGGTGTGAGTGGGAGAGAGCTGGCAAATGTTTTGGCTGCATGACGTAGCAGTTTATTTATTGTGTGAGGTTGTTGAGGTGTGCTGTATGTGTTTAGGTGTGCGTGTGTGTCTATGCTACAGTTTGTGTGTCAGGCCGAGTCCGCAATCCTACGCCGCCGCACACACACACACACACACACACACACACACATACACATACACAACAAAGTCCAGAGTTGACTTTTATAGAGTCGCATGCACAATAAAGAAGTCTATTATCCTTTTTGCCAGCGACGACGACGCTGTTATTGTTGTTGTTGTTGTTGTTGTTGGGTGAGCGTCGACTGGGATCGATATCCATTAGGAAAATTAAAATTGTGGCAGAGGCAATGAACGTAAAAAGCGGAAGCAGTAGTCAGTCAGTCAGTTAGTTAGTCAGCCAGGCAGTCAGGCAGTCAGGCAGCCAAGCAGTCAGGCAGTCAACCAACCCCACCAAAAAAGGCCGACAAGAGCGCCCAGTCTGTCTATCAGTCAGTCAATCAGTCAGTCAGTCAGTTGTGTCAATCATGCATGCATTCAGCGACCGCCATTTGTCGCGAGACATTTCCGTTTCCGTCTAGGTTAACGGTAATTATATATCCACAGGTGATATATGGTATATGGTATATATGGTATATATGGTATATATGGTATATATGGTATATATGGTATATGGTATATGGTATATATGGTATATATGGTATATATGGTATATATGGTATATATGGTATATATGGTATATATGGTATATATGGTATATATGGTATATATGGTATATATGGTATATATGGTATATGGTATATGGTATATGGTATATGGTATATGGTATATGGTATATGGTATATGGTATATGGT